ATATGTATATATGTATATATGTACATGTACATGTATATGTACATGTACATGTATATGTATATGTATATGTATATACATATATATATATATATGGACACACTCACACACCACTATTAAAAATCATGATGGAACATCTCGAGACCACAGCTCCGATTCCCACAGCCTGAGCCCGCGAAGCAGTCAGGCGGTCCCTGTTTCAGGGCCACGTCGTGGGCTGAGAAGAGGGTAATACGGTTGATGGACGGAATCCTGCGTTGCCTTCAGCGTCCTAAACTGCCTTCAGCGTCCTAAACTACCGGAAGTTTGGCATCTTCCTCTTTATTCCTCTTACAGGGTTTCTGGCTTTGGATCACCGGGTTTGGGCTTTGCGGGATAAGGGCACTAGTGCGGGGGGAGTCGGAGGGGGGCATTCATCTTCAGTCATTAAAAGCAAGCAGCCCCATCCGGGCTTAGGACATTAGTAGGACTTCGGGTTTTACAGCAGGAGCTTGACCCTAAGCCGCTTCAACCTAAACACCTCAAGCTTTGGGTTTTGGCTTGAGGGCGAGAACCCTCGACCCAGGCTAGTGTGAGGTCTCTTGGGTCAGCAACGTTGCAGTATCAGTGCCTTAATATTATATGGTCATACTAGGCCATTGCTATGCCTATGTTTTCCCATGGTAGTGCAGTTACTGCACGTGAAGTTGGCCCTAAGAGATACATACCTTTCTTTTGGGTTAGCCGTTCGGTAGAAGTGCATCAGTTTATTTATCACGCTTGATACTGCCAAGAATGCGACGATATTGAGTTACACACTAGGTCGATTTAGGCAGGCAGTCTCATCAGAGCCTGATCAAGAGAAGGGCTTTGCGAAGGGACCCTAAGCCCCTAACCGTAAACCCCAAACCCTAAACCCACAGAACCAAAAGCCCAAGCCCTTCACACAGTCTCCATATCGCTACAGCTTTAAAATGCCCCCCACCTCCGAGCTTTTGGATGTGAGTTCGGCTTCAGGGTTCGGGGTTGTAGGAAAACAGGGTTTGGGCTTCAAGAGTTCGAGGGCTTTCGGATTAAAGGGGGTGTTCAGAGTTCGAGGGTTTACAGGGTCTTGATCTTGAGGCCAAGTCGCCCTGATCGCTTGCTGAACGCGGGGGCTGAGCTCAGTCTGAGTCGGAGGAGTGACGAACGGGTCGTGACACGTGGTGCAACGATGGTTCATATGGAGCTAGAGAAACTCACATCCTCAGAATCTCTGCATTTCCCAGATGACTCACGGCAGTCCATTGCTTTTCGGGGATTCTGGCACTGGTCATCCGAATGGCCCTCGTTTCTAGGGGGGAAATTAGGTCGTGAGCTTCCTGAGAAGTGCACAGCAAGTGATCGGGAACTGTCCCGCTTGCTCGTCGATATGAGTCAGTCAGGGCAGTATTAGGGATAACAGAGCGTTGTTTAAGGAAGGACATAGTGCGGGGTCTCTCCCTCTATGTCAGGTTCCCAAATGCGCTCCGGACAAAACTCCCAGGGGTTAGAGGCTCCGATGCCCCGTTGATGAAAGGTTCTTTAAAGTCCTTCGTAAACCCGAAACCCGAAGCCCTAAACTTCCTGAACTGCTGGGTCATGGGAGGCCCGCACAGATCTATTTTAACCAAGTAGCCGCTAGTAGCCACCATGTCATTTACTTCGGCGTCAGGCTGTTGCTAGTTGACGGCCCAAACCCCCAAACCTGAAACCCTCAACCAAGGAGACACTAGAGTCTAACTCGTCTAATCAACTAGAAGTTGAAGAAGAACGGAGACGCTGTTAAACCGTCTTGGGATTAGTGTCCAGCGTTTTTGGATATATGATATGGATGTTTCAAACAAGTTTTGGGGTTCAGTTCAGTCTATGCTCCAGAAGGCGGCTCGCTGCAAACGTATGATGCGTGTTATCCTCCAAGCCAGCAGCTAGTCACGTTCATGTTTTTTTGTTGGAGCTGGTTCAAACTTTCGGGGCATTGGGTGCAGAATTTAGGGACATGGATTTAGGGTTTCGTGTAAGGTTCTTGGTATACGTTGTGCTTATGCTGTGGCGTGTTGTAGGATGTCCTGTAAGCCTCAGTTCCCGCGCTAAACTAAACCACAAACCACACGCCCAAACCCTACCTTGAACCCTACGCTAAGAATTCGAATCCATGCAGTGTCCAAGAGTTCTGTCCTACAATGTAGCAAACGTGACGAAGAATCGCGAGCCCGACAACCCCAAAGTATTTAGGATTCATATAGCTAAGCCCTAAACCCTACATCCCTAAACCCTGAACCCTAACCCTAGAC